TCAATGCACCAAAAAATGTTTTGCTTCAAAGTTTTTTTGGAAACAAAACAACAAGAATGATCTCCATTATAGAGCTGAAAATATTATTTAGTTCATTAAGAAAAACAGACTAACAAAGGTACTGATCAAGTTCAGACATACTTCCTCCTCCTCCCCCAGAAAAAGCTAATTTCTTTATCTGGAATCTGCTAGACCACATCTAAACTATAGAGGAACCACTGAATAAAATAATTTCTTTTGTCCAGAATACAATTTGTTGAACTCAAACACCAATGGGTTCTTGCATCAAACTAAAATCACATATTTTCACACTTAGTTTCCCAAGATTATGGGGGAAAAAAAATAATCCTCTGTAATAGCAACTTCTGTTGAGATCCATGAATCACTACATGCACAAAGTGGCAAAATCTCCTTGGAGAGTGTTAAAAGATTCCTAAACATTCTAAATACTCCTTAGAGATAGTAAGATTACTCCTAAATATTAGATATTCCTAAATATTAATATTTTTTTCTAAATCAAACCCAAGCTTCACATCATCATTTAAAGTACACTGAAATGTTGAATTATGTCAGATGCAAAATGATGGGGAGGATTTTTGGTTTTCAGTGAAGTATGTATTTCTGTGTCAGAAGAGACATCAATACAGCCTTTGTAATAGATAACAACTCAAATAAGATTAAGCAACAAGAAGGAAATGGCAACCGTCCCTCCTTATTACATTACTTGACCATTTACCTGTGGATTTGCTTTCAAAATACAGGTGATAATACAAACATGTTTGGTATTAATAATGAAATGGTTTAACATAATCACTTTTTTTTTTTTTACGTCCTCCTCAATTAACTCATGTCAATACTGTCAAAGGACTAACCTAAGGAAATGGTCATATCAATTTTTTTCAAAGTGGCCATTGATTTTGGGTGCCCTACAACTAAAGATAAAATGGAAGCACCTAGCATCTCTACACAGGCCTCAGTGAACATAACATCTCATGATGTAGCATCTTCTAGAGTAACTTATTTCAAATAAAATGTAGTTTAAACAACAACAATTCTGATCTCTGATCTAAGTTAAACACTGATTTTGGTTTATGATAATGATTCTGAAGCGCAGGTTAACAGGGAAGATCCACAGCTTTTAAGTCAGATATACATCTGAGAGCTCTCAAATTGTGTGAATCAGTCTTCTGCTTCTTAAAAAGTTTGCTACACTGCAACAGCTCAATTAAATGACACATTCCTCTACCTTGCCTTTCTTCCACTACCATTAGCCCAAAAATACCTATATAAATGCTTATAATAGAATAGCTTCTTCCATCCTACGAATTGAAACAAATACGCAAGTAAAATGCATAAAGACTGTATAAGAGTTTATAATGGTAATGCCAAAAAAACAAAGTAAAAAAAAAAAAAAATCAAACAAGCGTATTGGTAAGATATTTTAAAAAGTAGGATAGTCCTTATCAGCAAATAACAGGATCAGACTCTCTTTTCTAGCTGTAGTTAATAGACTGTTCTTTATCTAACTTAAGTACAGGAAAAACTTCACAGAAATAAAGCAAATAGTGGGTGACTTCAAATACGAATAAAATGTCTTAGCAAAGTTCAGAGGAATTATATTTTACATTTAATCCAGACTAATTCTTCTGACTCTCATTACCATTAGCAAATTACTGTATAAAGCTTTTGCTTACAAAAAGATAATTAGTTCCTTTAGATTGGGAAGGAAAATCATTCACCGTAAGAAAGAGGACTGCAGACTTAAAAAAGCCTATTCTGTTAAAAGACTACACTAAAATGTGCTTGCTGATACATACGTATCTCCTTCTAGGAGAAAAGCTTCTCACATTGCAGAGCTGAGTTTCCATCCTTCTGAGCAGACCGATGGTTATCTGATTCATATTGTCCTATTCTAGGCTTCGTATCTATTTTCATCCTTACGCTTCAGTATTGCTGGAATGAGAACAGCTGTGAATGGGCACGTTACTATCCGCACGTTCTTTGGGAGATCTGTACATGGGGTCTGATAGCAGCCTAAATAAGTCTGCTTCTATTCTGAAGAAATTAAAAATTACAATTTCACGAATCTTCTGTCAGTATTTAGCATCTTATTTTCAGCAACATTTTCCATCATCTGCCTCTGAATTCCATCTTCCTCATTCCACAAAAATGTATTCAAAGGGAACGCAAACTGTAGCATAAATTAAATTAGGTAATTGCATTTTTTTTTCCACTATACAACTTTAGATTTTATGCAGAGGTTAAACTGTATTTATACTTCTGGAATCACATCACGTGCAGTAAAAACAAAACAGTATCTTCTCTGCTGTTCTCTTCATGTACCAGGTTCTAGCTTGCCATACTCCAAAGAAGGTTAAAGTTCAGAAGGAGAAGGGAAAGATTAAGCTGCCTTATTTTCCCTCCAGGCTTAGACACCCAAGCAGAAGACATCTTTGTTTTGAACTACATCTCCAAGTTATCTACAGGCTGCTTTGCACCTTAAGAAAGCACTGAGCCAAGAACCATTTACCCCTCTGGTCTCATATCCAACACAAGGATTCCTATAAAGCGGTACAAGGCGATCAATGCACTAGGTCTAGGCACATCAAATCCTGAAGAAACGGCAATTCCTATAAATAACATTTGAACAACTTCTATCTCTTGTACATAATATCAAAGCAAAGGAATAGGTAAATAGCAATCTACCATTTTATTTTCACTCTTGCTAAGCAATTTTCTGACAAGACTTTCCATCCAAAAATTTAGTTCTTATCTAGAAAGACAAGGAGGAATATAAACTGTAGGGTCACAAAGAAAAAGTCACAGTTAAAAATAAGCTGAAATAAAACGAAAAACAAAAGTTGCAGTTTTCATGGGTTGTAACTGACAGAGCCACTAGTGTGTTTATTTAGGATGCACTCTAGTGGACATACACATAACAAAATCAAAGATAGATACAAATGTTATGAAAATATTGTAGAAAATGAAAGCCATGTGTTGGAAGTAGTAATTAGAATTACTTACTAGCATGTTTTAAAATATTGTCTTATAACTTGAACATATTTCCTAATCAAATATGAAGGCTGAAATTTTCATAGTCAACATGATTTAACATAAAATTTAAGTGGACACAAGTTACTTATCAACTTTTTAAAATTTTAATCTAAATAACAAGATTCAGTTATACATACTGGCTCAAAAGAGAAAATCTATTTATCCAATTACTTCATCCCTTTGAGATTGACACAAGAAACTGCTTGCTGTGCATAGTGTTAATAAACTGTAGTATCCTAAAAGGCGGCCTCAAAATGATACTATTTTAACTATTATAATCATAAACTGTGACAAAATCAGTTTACTGGAATATCAGCCATAAAGGCACATTCATTCCACAGAAAAGGTTCTTGACAGTCATAGAAATTGCAAACCTATAGCGATGCAGAATAAGTTTAGATAGCAAAGCTTGACCACCTAGCCACAAAAGTTGTTCCATTTTTCATTACTTAAAAAAGTTACATAAATATTTCTAGTTATTTGTACCTGGAAAGTGACATTTTTCTTTTTTGATTTTAAAGATGTTCATGTAAGTCAAGCAATATGGCAATAAAGAGGGCAACAGGATTTTTTTCATAAACATACTTTATTATTTTTAAGGGAAAAATAATATATTACTATAACAGAAATCAATAGTGCTTACCTTTTTAAAAATTGATAAGATTATGCCAAGTATGAACAACATGAACAGCACAAATTATTTAGATCTAGAACATGATTGACCTTTGCCTATTGGGTGTAAAGATATTTCTAACAGCTTGCCAAAGATAACAAAACTTTTAAAGCTAGCTACAATATAAACAAATTAAAATGAAGTTATCCCAAAAATCTCTTTCATCTCAAAACTGAAGAACGCAGTGAATGCACTAACTATGCCCATAATTTGTAAGGAAGAGTATTTTCATTACACGATATTGGCAATGTCTTCATGTTAATTGTCCAACTAACCTGTATTATTGGAAGACACTGAGATGCAAAGGCACGTTCTAACCAAGAAGCATAGGATTTCTTAATGCTGGTGTCTTTTCCAGTTATAATGAACAGACACGGAACATTCTTGACAACCTGTACCAAGATATCAGTGATCACAGAAATTTGTTCTTATAAAAATTAGTGCAATCTTTAAGGATTATAAAACTTGTTTTTACAGATAAAGATGGATTAAGCTAAATATTCTTCAAATCTTTTAGAAGTGAAGCTTTGAGAATTAATAATGATATTTAGTAAAGACATCACAATTTTTTGATTTGCAAATTCAAGACAAAAGCAGGAAAGATTATTTTAAGACTTGATTAATCGAAACTGATATGCAGACACATGCAGCTCACCTAACATCAGGTTATTATAAAGCCTAGAGCAAACACCTAGTGTTACAAACAGTACCTCCTGATTTCTAAGACAGACAATATGGAGTCACAGAGAGTTCAATTTATCTCTTCCAGATAAATCGGAAAATCTGCTGTGATATTTGCATCTAGTTTGATGTGCAGAACTCTCCATCTTCTAACCTATACAGCATTCCCTCTTTCTATCAGAAATCATTCAAATGCTTGGAAAATCCTTTTTCAATAATCTTTTATTCTTTTAATACTGATTCAAATTATCATACTGTAGCCTCTACTCCAAAATAATCTTGACACATTAATCATATCTATAATTATTAAGTTGTTACACTTCAAGAATCAATGGGCAACAAATAGAAAATGTATTTACTGCTTTCATTTCAATTGCAGTTTTCTTCCTCTAAGTCAGCCATGCTAGCTACAATGGTTTAAGAACAGAAAGGAAGCATCATATGCCAGAATTAACAAACTTTATACAAACACCTAGAAAGCACAGAAACTGAAACAACAGGTATGTAAATCAGTTCTATATATAAAATACATAAATTAAGATATTACACTTCAGGATCAGCAAGTAAGGAGTAGAAAATATATTTACTGCTTTCAGATCAGCTGGGAACTTTCTTGTTCTGATTCTGCCATGGGGTCTGTTATATTCTAAAAACAAAAAAGAAATCCTATCAGTTGCCAGCTTTGCAAAAAGAAAAAAGCAGAAAAAAAGAAAAAAACACGACAGCAAGCCGGTATTCATCAATGTAATTAAGTATTCTTCCATTCAGTGAACTATGATGAAGTTTATCACCCAACTTTTTTTATAAAATCCACCAAGTCTGTATGAAGTACTACGATTCTGAGAACAGAATAGTTTCAAAAGTACAAGTCTATATATTTTAATTTCATTGATCTGTTCTTAATTTGTAGTTTAATTCAACAAATGTATTACTGCAAAACCTGAAACATCACCAAAGGCCAATGTAATCCAGCTTAAAACGACTTTTGCCATGAAAATTTGGATGATGGCACGTATAAGGAGAAGTAGATAAACTTATCACTCATATTCACTTCTGGTTTTGCAATTCACTAATTTAAGAACATATAAAATATGTCTGAAACCTGAAGAATACTTTTTAATATGTAATAAACAGAAAAATATAAAAATTGGGGCTATATGAGCCCTTGAAAAGTCTTCTGATTTACCTTAGTGAAAAAAAGACCTGTGATAACCTGATCCTAAGAATAGTTATAAGTATGTTCATAAATATATTTACAGAACACTTATAAAACAGGCTGCTATTAAAGTAACCTTAAGCATAAAGTATATTAATATCATAATATAAATTCTGAGCCAGAACTACACTACCGATACAAGAAATTAAGTGAGCAAATTATTAAGCCTAATAAAAGGAAAAAGGGTTCTGGTAAAGGAGTACTAAAACTAGTATATCAAAATCTCAAGTCACTTGGAATACTCTAACCAAAAAAAGTCAGATAGATATCAGTATCTATAACCAGTGAATACTCATAAAGCTGAGTGATCTTGCAGGAGTTGGCAGTATCTGTTAAATGTACTGCCATGCCTTACAATGAATGAAGGCTGATTTATGGCCTCTCATTTCCCTGGACTGTCTAGTATAAAAGGATTGGGAAAAAAAAACAAACACAAAACAACAAATAAAACATTGGTCATAGAAGATATCTGAGGATCACAATATAGAGCCATAGTTGTAGCACTGAAAGCAGTACATTCATGTTGGCACAGGGCTCAGATAATGTGATTCTCAGCAGGTCCTAGCCTCAGTGAGCAGTGTCCTTAGTATCTGGTCTTTTATGTTAAATGCTTGCTCAGATATCTCTGCACAAGAGTACATTCTGCTGCACAAAAAGTATACTTCACATCAACCAGAAAAATATAAATAACTTCACTCACTCAAAACCGAGTCATCTTTAGTGATTTATATGACTATCTCTTCAGATGGCAAAGGAAGGCTGCCTCCTTTCTGAGAATATTCATACTTTCATTTGTACCATATCTGAATACAAAAAGGCATTTTAAATCTTGAAGATCTAGTCAGCCAACACCACAGTCTTTTATAACGATTTAGCTTGTATCAGAGAACAGGCTAAGGACAGTTTGGGGGTTGTGGCCAAAATATCATCTCTTAAAAACATAAGAGAGAACCAGCACAGTCTTAACTACAACAGTTTTAACCTTTGATATGTCGGCATAGAAAAGCAAATCTGTAAGAATCAATAATTTATAATCTCCTCGTTCTTTCTAAACACTTACCTCAAACTGTCCATTCTCATCTAGCTCCTCAACGCTGGTCATATTAGGTGTTCCAGATCTATCTGGAAGTTCAGCTATTGTCTTTTCATTTTCCTATGGTTAATGAAAATCAATTTTCAGTTAAAGTATTCCATGTCATGAATAATTATCCATAGAGAATACTTCAGGTGTGTTAAAATGACATTATGTATTAGTATAAAGATAATACTTGAGACGAGTGCTATACAAACGTGTTAGTATGTGAATATGGTCTTTGTACGCTCATTAACACTGTTTTTATCATTTTTTTTAAATAACAGGAGCTGGCTTAGATTTTGACATATTAATTTTTCCTGTCAGTTTCATACTGCTATCTTTCTACAATTATGTTCTGTCAGTATTTTAAGAGTGCTCTAAAAAGTACGTATCTAAAATATGACATGCTCCACGTAAATTTAAGAGATACTGACACTTAAAAACTTTATTGAGATAAACATGCCAATTATCAGTGTATGTTTGAATGAAACAGCACTAAAAGACCATACACTTACACAAATGTCTGTATACGCACTCTTCTGTTAGCATAAATTCCTGTGTATCAGGAGGATTTCAGAATCTAGAGGCATCCCAATTCCAAACCACAGTTCCTTTTCCAGGTACAGAAAATGGACTTAGCACTGAGATATGGTAAAACATTACTGTCCAGACACTTACATTAGACATGCTTAAGCTACAATAGTTTCTCATAAATACTGTCAAGAAATGTGAAAGCATCAATTAAAATGACCTTACGCTAAATTTTGCAATAAATTTATGCTCTGTTCTGAATATAAACTAAATAAACCTAATAGGACAGACCAAAATTCAAGTATAAAACTCAGACTGGAAGATGTTAGACATTCTTCCCTCATTTTCACTTTTTTTTTTAAAAATTATGTGTTAATTCAACACCCATGGGCTTCTGCCTTGTGTTTCATATTTAGTGCCTGCATCTGGAAAAGACAGCTGACTAACAGTATTTTCAACTACTGACTAAGCTTTGGCTTAAACCTCTTGATCTTTCTGCTGCAACGGTATTTCGTCTTCTTCATTCTGCTGTTCCAACTCATCACATTCTTGTTCCAACTGACCCTGCAGTCAGTTTAAGAAAGGACAAATTAGAAGGAAAAAACCCCACATTCATCCTTCCCACTCCATTGCTTACAATTTATTTCATGATTGAAACCTTTAAAAAAAAATAAAAAGGAAGCATAAAACATAACTGCAATGTTAATAACACAAAGCCCTTTCAGTATCATCTAACTTAACATTGTCACAGGTTTTAGACTTGCACGGATAGAAAGGCTTTACTACCAAGAAGAAGGAGAAACAGACAACCGAAGTTAGAGTATGCACTTCAGATACTGTCTCATTCCTCATGCTCTTTATCAGTCTATATTCATTATCTCCTACACTTTGGACAAAGCTCTGATACTTCCTATAGTATCTAGCACAGACAGATGAATCCACACAGAATCGAATCTATAGAAAAGACTGGTAAGCAATGCCATTAACATTAATCATCTTCATCATCAACCTTTATTATTTCCAACTGGAAGTATCTAATACAAAGTGTTTATTCTTTGTGAGCCTAAGTCCTATTGGATCAAAACTTCAGAAACTCCTAATCTAAGCATTCACATTCAACAAAACTAGGGCCTAGAGAATATTGTTTGCTGTAGTATTTTGTGAGCAGTTACTACAAATGTTGCCATACTATAGTAACTAGTTTTCACATTCCTTTTTGGTGCATATAATTCAAACATGCCTGAGTACGTGACTATAGGCACAATTGTGAGTTAGGTTAACAAAAGTCTAATATGAGTATTGTCCAACATCTTTCCTTTAGCTTACATTAAATAATTAATTTCATTCCTGTAAGTTATCTCTAGACACAATCTCATATTCTTGATTCCATTTACTATTTTAAATGACTCATGAAATCCTTAAGCATATAACTTTTGGTCTGCAAACTAGTAAATTCCAAATTTAAAAAGTGCAGGTGAAATAGAATTAATGCATCTTGCACTAGAATTGGGCTTAAAAAGATCAGCATAGATTCGAAATTATACTTTTGATTTTAACATAGTGAAAGTCAGCCATGTAAAAAAATGCCATCAGACAACGTCAACACTACCACAGCAACAAGAAGCTGTTACACACGTGGTCAAATTTGTGAGACTTCTTTATAAAGGATAGCTTGAAACACAGATGTTATCTTTATTTCTCATATTTCAAGTCCACATAGTATAGGATTCAAATTGCTTCATGCCAACAGAATGCTCAGTTAGCTAAGGAAAGAAAAAAGCACCTCATGGGATCAGGCTATACATACCGCTTGAACAGGCAATCTTCATTCACTGATTCCCAACCATTTACAGGAATCTATAATTGTGTATACATTCTCATTACCTGTTTTTATCTTACTGATATTACATTGAAGTAGCTTGAGACAATAACCGGTTATTACTCCCAGGCCTCCTAGCAGGCCTGTCAAAAATTTTTGCAATGATTTCTAGCTCTAAAAGCATCAGCTCTTGTTCATAATTAACTACAGAAGACAGTCTACTTCTTTTAAGTTACTGCTCACATAAGCGTTAAATTGCTTGCTTTTTACCTTAGGTAGGCTCCTTCATTTTTTTTAATAAATAAATTTTTAATAGTATTTAAGTTTTGCTTCCCATGTGCTGACTAACCATTTCAGTTATTATCTAGAAAAGTGAGATTAAAATATTTGGTTTATGCTACCTTTTATCAAAATCATTACACAGACATTAGAAGTATACAGAGTGCTAAAAGATGCCACAGCATCATACACTATTTATAAATATCTATTATTAAGTATTATTAACCTGATGTTGTTCTTCAAGTTTCTGCTGGATCATTAGCTCTTCTTCCTTCATTTTTCTTAACATTTCCAGTTCTACCAGGGCTGCCTCCCGTTCTTGTTCTTGCTCAATCCTCTCCAACATTCTCTATTAGAGATAACACAGAATCAATTAAAAAAAAATAGAGATATTAAATAGTGTGAATTCTATTATCACGATTTTTTTTTGCCCAAGATGGATCCACCTTTTTTTCTTCATCTAAGATTCTTCTGTAATTGTAAATCCAGTGTGCCAGATACTCTATTGGATCTGCGGGCCGATGCTCTACAACCTCTGCCAGTCCCTTTTTCAAGCAACTCCCCAGGCATCTCTTCAGATACTGAGACTCCATTCACATCTACTAACAACAGACAGACAGACATACATTAGCCATCAATGTCAGAATTACATTAGGGGTTTTAAGAATTATTGCCTCAGGCATCAAATACTGAATATGACATTACTCTTTTTATTAATCTGGCAATTAGAAGAAAGTGATTTAAATTTAATATTGGGCTAGTTCTTAAAAGCTCCAGTGACAGATCAGTTATACCAAGTGCTGCAGAAAAAAATGCTCAAAACCTGCCTTACTGTTTTTGGCACATATAATTCAGAAACCGCTTGGAAATACACCGGTAATTCTAGGTCAGCATGATAGCAAAAAAAAGTCAAAACCACAACAGGATATAGAAAACTTCTATATAGATATTTGAAGAACAGCAAAGTAGTTCTGTGAACGATTCAGGATATAGATTTTAGTTTGAACTAGCAAAGCTATCTTTAAGACATGTATGCAAGACCAGGGCCTGAAGCAATCACTCTATGCAGTGATGAAAGGCACAAATCCCTGTGCACACGCAAGGTTTTACCGGCCCTGTGCCAGCAAGCACATAACACATCTGAAACCCGATTTCTGCAATGCGGAAACACCCTGCCTTGGCTGTCAACGGGACTGAACCCGTCTCGCGCAGCCCTGGCCTGGAGGAGGCAGCGGATCCCTCGCTGGGAAGGGCGCCCGTCGAGTAGCAGGTCCCCCTAAAGACGCCGGGCAGCTCCGCGCCGCACGGCCCGTCGGCACTAGACCCGCTGTCAGGGCCCCGAAGGCACTAGCAGGCTTGATTGACCCAACCGTTTTCACCTGGAGCCTCCGCCCACGTCCTCCACCCCGCGCTCCATTTAAGCACAGCCTGGGACCTTCACCCCTCCCCTGCGCTACACGCCGGGCGGGCCCGTTCCTTAGCCCGGCTCCTCTGGTGCTCTGCGGCTTCCTTGCGTGGACCTGGCACGTCACCCTGCCTCGCCCGGTGCTCCGTG